CGGGAGGATCATGCCTGAGCTCAGGAGTTCGAGACCAGCCTGAGCAAGAGTGAGACCTCATCTCTACCGAAAACAGAAAAATTAAGTGGGTGTTGTGGCTTGCACCTATAGTCCCAGCTACTCGGGAGGCTGAGGCAGGAGGATGTTTGAGCCCAGAGTTGGAGGCTGCAGTGAGCTACAATGGTGCCACTGCACTCTACCCAGGGAGACAGAGCAAGACTATCTCCACAAAAAAAAAAAAAAAAAAAGGCACTGAACAAAACCAGAAGACAGGCTAAATGGACATTTTATTGAAAATATTAAACAAGTAACTGGAGAGTCTGGTGGATTATCAGATACTTAATTAAAACATGAGAGATATTTAAGGAGAAGAGAGAAAGTAATTCAATTAAGAAGGCTGAAAAGAAAAAATATTATGGGGTCACAAAACTAAAACCACTCGAGTAAATATAATGGCCCAAAATGGGCCATGCCTAGAAGCTGGACATGATGGACAGACCCCAGGACCCACTTTGGACCATAAAGCAACTTGCCACGGTCAGAAAGCAGAAAGATGAAAGCCTATCTTTGAGAACCATGAAGCTTCAAGAGCCTATATCTAAGCCTAGGAGAAAACTAAGCCATACTGTATTTGGGTTGTGTCATACAACCAATATACATGTAGAAACTCTGGAGAAGGGAGAGGAAAAGAATATCTGAGTGTTGTTTAAAATTGAATCTGCTCTAGATTAACTCTGGTCTCTAAAATATTTCAGATTCTGAAAGCGTTAACCTAAACAATGTGCCTATTTAACCACTAGTTGTGGGAGGAATATCTACAAGGCAGTGTACCAAAGTGTCTCTCAGAGCAGGTAGGAGCAATACAAGTGCTGGCTCCAATACAAATCAACTGTGTCCCTTGTTAAATTATATATATATAATTGTTATATATAATTACATTATATATATGTATAAAGGGAAAGTTATCCTCACGCAAGTATGAAGATTAACTTGTATTTGTATTATTCTAAATTGTTAAATTAGAAAGCATTTAGCTCTCAAAATGCTAAGAATTATAATGCTATAAAGCTAAGTCTTGCTAGTTTAAAAATAC